AAGTCAGGGGGAGCGACACGATCGATGAAGAAGGACATCAAAACACGGGTAATGATGAGGAGGCAGGTCCTCTTGATGAGACAATGAGCCATACAGATTGCAGAAATAATGAAACTCCAACTACTCCTCAACCCACTACGGAATTATTAAGCCGCGAACATCGAGAAAAGTAGCCCCCCAGCTATTTACAAGACTTTGTCACACACTCTGCTCGTCGTTTAGACCCCTCCGCTGTTTCTCCAGCATCATCTCAGTCCTCAGGTACATCTTATCCCATAACTCATTATGTGACGTATGATAATTTTTCTGTGAAACACAGACATTTCTTGGTAGTTGTTACTGCAGGCCGAGAACCTACTCGTTTCTTTGAGGCAATGACTGATGCTCGATGGCGCGAGGCTATGCGCCAAGAGATACAGGCTTTGGAAGACAATGGGACTATGGACCTTGGAATACCTCCCACCTGGAAAAAAGGCAATCGGGTGTAAATGGGTCTACAAAATCAAGTACAACTCTGATGGATCCATTGAAAGATTTAAAGCACGGTTGGTAATCCTAGGCAACACTCAAGTTGAAGGTCTTGATTACAACGAGACCTTTGCCCCTATGGCTAAAATGGTCACAGTTCGGACCTTCTTAGCAGTTGTTGCGGCCCAACATTGGGAATTGCATCAGATGGATGTCAACAATGCTTTTCTGCATAGTGATCTCCATGAGGAGGTCTATATGAAACCTCCTCCAGGTTTTTTGGCCTCCGGGACTAGAAAGGTATGCAAACTCCGGAAATCTTTGTATGGTCTGCGGCAAGCCCCCCGGAACTGGTTCTCTAAGTTAGGTGCTGCCTTTAAAACTTTGGGGTTTGAACAGTCCTATTTCTATTATTCCTTATTTACATATCGCAAGAATGGGCTTGTCTTGCACGTCTTGGTTTATGTTGATGATTTAATCGTTGGTGGGAATAACCCGGAGTTCATACACAAATTTAAACAGTATATGAACCGGTGTTTTCACATGAAGGACTTGGGTGTTCTTAAATATTTTTTGGGCATCGAAGTGACTCGCGGATCATCGGGGATATTTCTTTGCAAAAGAAAATATGCACTTGATATTATTATAGAGATTGGCTTATTGGGGTCCAAACCTGCTCACTTTCTTATTACTCAGAATCATAAACTTGCTCTTGCTGACGGAGCACTCCTGGATGACCCTGAACAATATCGACATCTTGCGGGCCGTTTGATTTATTTAACCATTACACGGCCGGAGCTCAGTTATTGCATCCATGTCCTGGATCAATTTATGCAGTGTCCTCGTGTTGATCATTGGGATGCGGCATTACATGTGGTTCGTTATCTGAAAGGACGTCCTGGTCAAGGAATATTTTTTGGCTCTGATAGTAATCTGCAATTGTATGGCTATTGTGATTCCGACTGGGCGAGTTGTCCTCTAACTCGTCGCTCTCTTACTGGGTACTTTGTCATATTAGGACATTCCCCCATCTCCTGGAAGACTAAGAAACAACATACTGTCTCCCAGTCCTCTGCCGAGTCTGAATACCGGTCAATGGCTACTACTAGTTGTGAGTTGAAGTGGTTGAAAGGTCTGCTGTCGTCTTTAGGTATATCTCATCCTCAACCTATACGCTTGTTTTGTGACAATCAAGCTGCTCGGCACATTGCTGCGAACCCTGTCTTCCATGAGCGAACCAAACATATTAAAGTTGATTGTCATGTCATTCGCAATGAGCTCCAGCTCCAAGCCAGCACCATTACACCTTCCTATGTACGTACCGGTGAACAAGTTGCCGACATTTTCACAAAGGCTCTCGGACAAAAACAGTTTGATTTTTTCCTTCCCAAGCTGGGCATTCACAATCCTCATGCACCTCCTTGAGGGGGAGTATTGGACGAAGATAAGGTTCGCGAGAGTCGTAGGAGATTTCGGATCTGTATTCTGTATATTTCCTGTACAGTTAGGATTTAGAAGTTTTGTTTTTCTTTTTGGATTAAGAAGTCTTTTTGATTTTAGAAAGTTTTGGGGAGCAAGAACTCTATCGAATTTGTATATATATCATAAGATAACAATGGAGGGGGTGCACCTTTGGCTTCTGAAATTTTTCACAAACTTTACCTGTTAACCTCAATTTCAAGCATACAATTCAGGTTTGACGATCCATTTTGATCACTTTGCCAATTTTTAGCCAAGAGGCTGATTTGACTATGAACTTCTCCAACGAGCTTCCTTTTTAAACAAAACGATCCTCCCAATTCCCCTGGCAGATGTTCTCGATGTATAATTGTAATGGCTTTTTTCTTTTAAACCCCAAACTTTACACCAGGTGAAGGGCGACCACCTTAAATTTTATTAACCATTTTCAAAAGGAAAATTTATAATAACAGGGGAGGGCTTAGCTCGCATTACCCTATTACCCAAGTATACATATCTCTCCCTCACCATCTTAGACTCACCAAAAAAAATAAAAAACCTAGCAAAACTTAATTAATTCTAAAGATAGAAAAACCCAAATTATCTTCGTGAATAAGATAAGCCAGATCTTTAGGAATTTGAGAATTGTTATTGATCACTTTAAAGTACATTTTTTATAAATGGCTTGTAGACGGAGTTTGATGAAAGTTCACATCTCCGCCCCACAACGTCCCACAGCACATCCCTACCATGTATTGAAAATATCTCCCGATGATTACACGGCAGGGATGTGCTGTGGGACGTTGTGGTATACCAGCTATTTGGTTGTCCTATTGAGATTCGAAAAGGCAACTGTGCAGATGATTAGTTAGTTAGCCAGTAAAGGACAAATTCGGGACAAGACCCTTGATAGCGATTTTCCTTGTAGAATCCAGCACTCCCTAAAAGCAGAATCCAGATTTTGATATTGGTTAACTGCTGGTTTTTTATATTGGTTAACCGAAACTGAACCGGTATCTTTGATTTTTAAAAACATCAAACCAATCGGTTCAGTTAACCTAATTTTCAGTTTGATTTCGGTCAATTTTTTTCAATCAATTCGGTTTTTTGATTTTTTTTTGCTCACCCCTATTTAACAGAAGAGGACATAGCCTGTCTAGCTTGCCCCATGGTCAGTACAAAAAGCACTTAACACCACCCTCTCAAACCCACCCTCCAAAGATTAACATAATCCTCCTACAAAAGCCTTCCAAGATCAACCTGGATTGAGAAATAGAATTAAAAACTTCTCTAAAAGTTCTTTTTCTTTTTCCATGTTAATGGGGTCGGCCGAGAATCTAGCAGCAACATGGTGAATACCGTGGATCCAACAAACCATGGTGTTTGAACTTTGAACTTGAAGGTTCACAATAGTGAAGAAGAAGGCACGGTTTGTTGCTTGGACGGGTGAACAACCACTCAATGTTGTAGAATCCACGGAATGTAATCGGAAGAAGAGTCGATCCAATAAATAAACTAATTAGAATTATTTGATCCAATTCATAATCAACCTACCTGTATACAGACCTTAAGCAACCAAGGAGACATTTTAACTCCAGGTCGATGACCCGGAAAGCAAAAATGGGAATATGACCCGTATTTCATGTTAAATTTATGGGGGATATTTCCAATCCGGATCTCTTGCTCACAAAAACTCAAAGACTCTGTATACATCTACTCATACGGGCATTCAACTGTGTGTAGTGTGTTAAATTCATGAGGAAATATTCTTAAGACTGTATTTGGAAGGAGTATAAATGTAAATATGTAGAATGCAAAACCTTATATTTGATATTATTTTATATATATTTATGTTGTACATATTTACATTTATACTCTTTCCAAACTGAGCCTAAATGAGTGACTGAATACCCATGTGAACAGATGTGTGCAGAGTTTTTGTGAGAAGGTATTCCCATCTCAGATATTTCTGATATACGGATGGATACTAATGCCTTCAGGGTGTGTGAAGGAATGTACACATAGAAATATGTAAAGTGCAAAACCTTTTATTTTGTATTTTTTAGGTATTTATACTGTAGATATTTGTCTTTGTAAAATTTATTTCGTTTTAAAAATTATTTAAACATATTTACATTGAAAACAAAAAAAAAAGTACAGAGTCGTTTGAATTGTATGGACCCATTCTAGATGCAGGTTAGGATTGGGCTTTTGTCAGAATTTGTATGGACCCAGCAAAGCCCAAACCCAACGGCCAAAGCAGTGTGAACTGTGAAACGCACCAACCCGAGTTGCACCCTTGTACGCAATGTTGATCATGCTTGTCAGGTGTCAGCCTTTGATTTTACAGTTACACCAAGAGGTGACCTCTTCTCGATTTGAAATGAACATCGGATTGCTGGATTACAAATGATATATCACCATCCAACCATGGAAACCAATCCGCCATTGGGCCGGAAGTATGAGGTCGGACCAGACTCAGGCCTAGCACCTTGGGCTGAGTTTAGGAGCAGACCTGGCCCAACATGAGACTAAAGTCTAAGTTCATCCTTCCCAGTGCTTTTGGAATATGGTAGTTAGTGGCAACAGGATTGATCCCAAGTCTTCACTATAACAACGCAGAGACCCTATCAACTGAGCCACCATAAATTGTTACTCAAAACTCATCCTAACTTGAAAGCCCATATGGCGAATTTGGTCACTAGCAAATAGAAACAATGATTAGAGTCCATTGTGTAGCTTCGAAAGGCATATTTGAGCCAAAGTGTGGAGATATTTCTCAGCCTGATTAGCTTCTCGATTTGGTTTGGAGTTGAGTCTAGAGTTGTTGGTGGGTAGTAATTGGTGTGTGTACCAACATACAGTAGCCTCAACATTTAAAACCTTAGCAGTGTATCCTTTGTACTGTTCTCTTTCAATGAAAGATTAAAAAGAGGAAGGAATTAACAGTAATCTAGAGTTGATATTAGCAGGGTGGGTCATAATCTTACATACCAATTATAACCACAACCACAACTTGCTTGTCCCCCTTTGTGTGTTGTCCTTGTAACATTCCGACTAATAGACACACATAATAAAGGCAAGAAGGACTGAGGACTGAGAAATGATAATGCGCTCTTTAATCGTTAAACACAATAACAGGCATTTCAATTGATGACACCCCACAACATAGACCCGGGATCTGCTGCACTCCCATAAAAGTTTAGACTTGAAAGTTGAAACCACTCAGGAGACCATTGCAGGAAAAAAAAAAAAGTACAGCTAGCGGATCCAAACATCTTTCATTGTATGTTATGCGTACGGGGGACTTTTATCCTAGGTTTGATTTATTTACGTCGCTGCAGTAGAACTGTAGAAGTAGATGACGATCAATGGTGACTGTGGGTGGTCCCTTTCTCGACGTCGTCTTCGTCGTCGTCGGCCAAACTGGAGTGATGCAATTTGTATGGACTCAAAGAAAGCGTCTTGAGGATTTTGGTGAAGCTGTGCTGCCGAGCCACAGACGACTTGGGGAGGCTCATTCCTTTGTTCAGGCTTCGATTCTTCGTCTTGAACTCGCTGCTATCTTCGTATTCAGACATCTCCACGTTTCCACGGACAAGGTGGGCCGAACCTTCCTCCTCTTTCGCCTCCGTTGATTTTTGGGACGCCGATTTCCTCCTGTAAACTGCGTACAGTATCAACTGAGCCGATCCCAATACGAAACCGATTGCGTTTGGAACCTACGCATACACAGACGTATTATACTTGGTTGCAAATTGTGAAATTAAAGTTCGAACCAGTCTACGGTTCTCCTCGTCGTAATACTTGACCAATCATGGTATACCACGTCAGCTCCATACATATATATGGGTTGGGTCCATGCATACTTGACCCGTCTCAATATGGTCCAGACTCCAGAGGATTCGGTGAGTTATTTATAAATCCATTCGTCCATGGACCCAAGCTGGTGTCGGTGTGGTCCATTGGGTGTACTGTGCAATAGGCCAAATGTTTCATGGCCCATTCGCTTTAACCAACATAAAAATAGTAAACAGTATGATCAACTTTTGCAGGCATATCTGTTATTTTGATCGTAAATTTGAGGGTAAATTAATCCTCTCCTTCCACAGTTGCAATTACCTCCCCCTGAATTTTTCGACATAATTGCAAATGGACCCCTTTGTTAAAAACTTTTAACAAAAGAAATGAAAATGCCCAAAATACTCACACGATTACTATTAAGGCTGGTTTCTTCGGTAAAAATAATACAAAATTTATGAACAACAACAATAAAAAAAGTAGAGTTTAAAGTTGCAGTTTTACCTCTCAGCAACTGATATGAAGAAAAATTTTGAAAAATAAATCAATTTTGGAAAAGAGAATGGGAGGGCTTGGGATAGTGATTGATATGAAAAAAAAATGGAAAATAAATATATTGGTCAACGTAACCAAGGTTCAAAATATCGATACGCCGGTAGGGACATATCGGGCGTTTTGATACTAGTTTTTTACTTTTTTTTATTTTTTTCAAAACTGGTTCAGGGGAGCCGGTCTAGGACCCCTCCATCCCCTGAACCGGTCAGACCCCCGATACACCCACTATAGGGGCATATCAGAAGGGTCCCAGAATGATACGTATCGGTCGATACGTAACGATACTTTGAACCTTGAACATAACTATATATATGAGTATTTTGGACATTTTCATGCCTCTTGTTAGAGGATTCTAAGAGGGGGTCTACTTGCAATTGTGTCAAAAAGTTCAAGGGCAGCGATTGCAATTACCAAACTTCAAGGAAAATTTCAGCAACAGTCCAAAACTTCATGGGAGATTTTAGTAATTTACACAAAATAATTAACCATTTTTATCCATAAATTTTATTATTAGAATGGAAAATTTTGCCCTATAATATTTTGGCAAGTGAAAAAGTCATTTATCCACTTAAGAGATAAAAATTGATTTAACATAAAACCCGTGTGAAAGTGAAAAAATTGGTCAATTTCTTATTAATCAACTTCCCCCTCCATATACCGAAAAAACCGACTGTGAATTGAGAGTTTGAGAAGTGGAAAATGTATACATTGGAGCGGTGGCAAACAAAGGAAAAAGTTAGAGGAGAAAAAAGAAACGAAGGATAAAAGGGAAGACGTAAGACATACCCCAATAAACAAGTCTTTGACGAGCACAGCATAAACAGACCAAACACCCCCATTGAGGAAGAGAAAGAAGGAAAGTGAGAAAGGCATGTAATCCACGCTCTTTGTCCTTATCACCATCCTCTGTCAATCAAACAGAAACAAGAAAAGAATAAAGTTGAGCTATGCCACACAATCGGTACAAACTTTGTCTTGAAAATACGTGATTCTTTAGAGTAGATAATGCAAACAAGAAGGTAGGGTTGCAAACGGTGTCTGTTTGTCCGATTAGAATTGGAATCCATTTCAAATTTGGATCGAATATGCAAGGTTCCATCGATCTCTATCTCAAACCCTTCTGTTGCAATCCAACCTGATAATCTCTCTCTACCAAATAGCTGGACGATCTCACATTCCCAACTCTCAAGTGGTCGTAATTAAGGGTGTCAATGGACCGGTCTTGGATTGGGCCCCGTTTAATCCAAAATCAATTTGGACGGATCAATAAGACATATTGGATAGGACCAATTCGGTTCAAAATATTTATTAGATTGGATTGAACCTGGTCCGTCCATAACAAATTTATATTGGACTGGATTGGATTAAGCTAATGTCTGGTTCATTGATAAAAGATAAGAATATATGTGTCAATGGACTGGGTTTGAGTTAAAGCCAACCTAACTCAAAATGAATTTGAACAGATTGAACGGTCCAGACATTGAATTGAACTGATCTAAATTGATCCAAAACATTTATTGGATTGAACTGGACCTGGTCCATTTATAATGGACTCACATCGGACTGGATTGGATTGGACCAAACCCAGTCCAATTGACACCCCTAGTCCTAATGAATGAATTTTGTTCTACACTTGTACTGTCATGGGCCATGACAGTACAAAAATGCTTCCTTTGAAGCTTTGTCATCAAGTGGAAAAGGACTAAAGGAATTTATGTGGCTCTAATTGTAGATACCAGTGTTCACAGGTAAAACATGCTTAAATTAATTTAAAAGCAAATTGAGAGAGTGAGAGGCTAACAAAAGTCTAGAACAAATTAATGTACCAAGCAACCGTATAAACGAATTCCTCGTGCAGAGATTTACAACCAAGTGTTAGTGGGAGTGAAATACATGAACGTAGCTGTTGGTTTGGATTTTTTCGGATTACAAACCTCCCTTGTGCTTTATTATTTATTTGCAGCAGTGATGCAAGGGAAGAGCTACCCCGTCTTGTGGTCCTTTATATTAGTATCAATTTCTCCATCATCATTTTTTAAGGTAATTTATCCATTATCATTGTTTATAATTGTATAAAGTAATAAAAATTTGTTAGATATGAACAAACCAACTATTAATTTCACCAAAGAAAATTGCAATTCAGTCATTTATCTTAATTTCAATATAATTAAACTAATTATTAGGCATTCAGTTATTGAACTAATCTAGATAATGAAGCTTCTCAGCAAATTAATAATAGCAATATTTATCTAGGATATCTTCATAAGTTCCAACACCCTATACCAACCAACATGATCTAACACCATACATCTCACCATCAGACTGGGACTCATTATAAAGATATGAGACCGGCCATGTATGAGACTATGAGATGTGTGGTGTGAGATCATGTTGGCAGAGTGTTAAAAGGTATTGTATATGTTTGCAGCAAAAAACCGGCCGGCTTACCATGGCAACTAGTGGTGAAGCATACATGCCCAGTGTTAACCCTGCGCATAAGAACCCCACCACAGTGAGCCGAAGACTTCCATGTATCGCCAGAAGAGTCACAGCGATCACAAGTCCCAGACATCCAACGTTCAAGAGAGCTACCAGCTTCATCAATTTCACCTGTACGCCATGGCCCATGCACTTAGAAACACATACACAGACAGACAGCTGAGACGGCGGAGCAACAGAGAACCTAGCTACTCGGTTACCTTTGTATCCTTGGGTGCATAAATGAGGAAAAGAGTGACGTATATGAACTGTAACACAGCGCCGGTGCCATTGACGGTGACGATGAGTAAACCACCAGGCTTGAGAAGTCCATAGAAAGACCACAAGGAGGTGCTCAACAGAGTACAGATGTACGGGAGCCCCTTGAAGCTCTCAGTTGATTTCTTCTTCACCACTCGCCGGAACGTGCCTCTGTCGACAATTAACACAGACTAGATATTGATGTTGAAACACACTTGAAATCTAATTTCTTTCTTTTCATACAATTAGCTAGAGAAGAGAGCCAAGATATATCTCTGTTACTCACATGGGAGAAGTGAAGACAAGTATGGAGATTATGTTGCCTGCAGAGAAAGAACGTCCTTGAACAAATTAAACAATGAACGAAATGAAGAAAGGTTGGAACTAACCCAGGTGTTAATACAATACCTACCTATGATGCCCACGATGAAGCTTAAGCTCGCCATATGAATGCTCGAAGCGAGCAGCAGAAGAATTGAGTGAGATTGCTGGTCCGATACACCTTTCAAATGAGGAGTGGCTCTTTTCGCTACCAAGTATACTCTCTTATAATGCTGGATGATTTTTTTTCCTTTTTTGCCTTTCCCAAAACCAGAATCAATCATACCCACGAGTTAGTGGCGTCTCGACTCGGGACTCCCGAGTTTGGACCACCGTCCACCCATTTCTTTTTCTCTCTCCATTGTTTACTGGAAAGGCGTATTGGCTCCAACCCCTGTTATTGGCTTATGGCATTTGGATTGGAAGTTTTTTTGTCCTCGTAGATGTGAGATCAGGGGCGGAGCTAGATTTTTTTTTTTTTATTTCGAGGGGGTTAAAACCTAGGAAATATGGATAAAGGGTCAAAATATAAATAAAATTTAAATGGGTTTTATGAGAATTTTGAAGGCATACCGCCACCCCCAGTTAGCTCCGCCTGTGTGAAATTTATTTTTTCTTATTAATGCATGGAAATACCCAAAAAGACAGAAAATGTTAAATTTCGAGAAACTTCAAATAAAATTTTCCAGTCTTTTTACATAATATATAACCTCTAAACATGTTTTTAAAAAGCTTTGTAAAAGACTAATTCCACTTGAATGTACCTACGAAGGAGCACATTGCTTTTACGTTTGTACTTCTGTCTCGGCTCCCAACGAGAGAGAGAAAGAAAGAGAACAAATGTATCACTCGGTGGAATTTGTTTGTGTATATGAGCAAAAAGTACGTTGATTGCTAACTCTTGTTTCGGTTAAGTTGGTGCCGATTGCCGAAATGGCAAATGGAGGAGGTGTCCTCCCTAGGACTGCCTCTACTGTGCAGAGGTGAGAGTGCCTTTTAAGGGTGTAGTATGACGGTCTGAATAGGCTTGGCATGCCTGCATGTTAGTGAGCGGTGTTTAAAAATAATAATTACTTATTCAAATAAGCAATTATTTTGAGTCAGGACCACGTAAATAAGCATTTATTAGCGATTGATAAGTAAAAAGACCGAAATAAGTGTTTGTTTTAAAAATAAAATACTCATTTGAAAAGCCTAAAATTTGGACTTATTTTTAGTACTTATTCAATGAGCATTTATTTCCTTTTTGGCCCATGATGTCATTTTGAAAATACCCATACTGCTTCTATTTGAAAAGAGTGCTTTTTGGCCCAATATAAGTGCTTATTAGAATAATCACTTATTTTTCAAATAAACACTCCCAAATTTAGCCATAGTGTCATTTTTGTAATTAAATACTATCAGTATTCTTTGAGCAAACTGTCAAAAGCTTGACATTCTCATTGATAAGGAACATTTAACCTCCTTGGTGCATACCCTTTGACACTCCTTGGACCATACATTCCTACAAGGGCAGCCTTTGATTAATTGCTAAGATGGTTGTCAAAGTTCTAGTGGGCACACACATAAAACTCATGGGGATAAAGCATAAATGTCATAAAGAGGAGGCTCAATATGAAGGATGGTTATGGCCGAATGTCCCAATTATAACCTTCCTCCTATGTTTGGGTGTATCAGAATCGGACCATCCCTTGCCCTAGAATTGGGGTGTGTCTTCGGCCAGATAGATAATTGAGTGATATGGGTTAAAGAGAATCACCCCTTCTTATCCTTCATGTGCTATGATGTCATGATCCAGTGCTATTAACATTAAACATTACCATCATTAAACCTAGTTTGGCCCTATCTCTTTTTTACGAGGTTTGTCCAAGTATTAAGGGTTGGGATGACGCACAAACGGTCATTTTTCACTACCAAAACTTTCGACCATAGTGCAGTCATACATAGTTTGGTTGATCTTGGATCCATTCGATGAAAGGCCATTGTTTGGGAGTTTCAGTTGATATTTCAGAATTTGGTGTTAGAAAAGCTTAGTTTAATCAATTTAACATCCAATAGGGTAGTAGTATCAAGTCCATATCTATTCCTCACATAGCTCTCCTCATAGCATGTCTCAGCCACGCATCAGGAACATCTCCCGTTCTTGTATGTTATCGTTCATAGGAGATGTTCTCAATACACGGAGGGATTTGGTTGTGAGGTCGGTGTGAGGTGGAGCAAATTCCAATTCAGTAATACTATAGGCCCTTGACTACAAGACAAAATACTTTAACCAGATTTTCGTTGATGCTTTATTTATTTGTTGCGCAAATCTGAACCAAATACAGTTTTGCACTTGATTCAACCCTAAATTTCTTCTGATGAATCAATTTTTGGTGATGTATCAATTTTTTGTGCTAAGTACCTCGTCATTTGGTCTGCTTCCAAGTGGCCAATAACTCAGAGGCCGAAGTGAACTTTTGTTGGATGAGGACCTGGATGCCGAGCTGACCAGGCCGAACTGGGGGCAAATTAGGTGCTGAGTTAACTGGGCCGAGTTGGGCAGTTTAGGTGTCGAACTGATTGGGTCGAGCTAGGCAGGTTAGGTGACGAGCTGACTGGGCCGAGCTAGGCAGGTTAGGTGACGAGCTGACCAGAGTGTCGAGCTGCCTATTAGGTGTTGAGCTGCCTATTAATCGTCGAGCTGACCAAAGGGCCGAGCTGCCTATTAGTTGTCGAGCTGACCAAAGGGCCGAATTGCCTGGTGGCGAGCTGGATTGATTGTTGAGCTTCGTAGTTCTTTAGAAACCTGCAAGGAATCAATGTCAGAGGACCCGAGGTGGCTAACCCGGCGAGATCGCTCCGGTGCTTAAGCCTATACTCTCATAATAGACTCCGAGCTAAAAATCACAAAGTATGAGAGCTAGAATATGCTTACTTGCCCCCCTCATGTCATTGGGGTTGGTGCCTTTATATAGGCATTGTTTGGCGTGGGCTTCACGCACCATATCCGAGATTTCTGAGAAGTCACCTAAGTGGTCCGAGATTCCCGGAGGCAACCGCCATGCACGTTGACCACCCTTCGGATCGTTCGGCGTGT